TATAAATTTGTAAAGGGCAAGTGTCAGGAGGTTGGAACCAGGCTCTTCTCTCTGATGTCCAATGACAGGACAAGGGGCAATGGGTGCAAACTGGAACATAGGAGGTTCCATGTGAACATGAGGAAAAACTTATCTACTGTGAGGGTTACAGAGCACTGGAACAGGCTGCCCAGAGAGGTTGTGTATCCTCCTTCTCTGGAGACATTCAAGGCCAACCTGGACGCGTTCCTGTGTGACCTAGTTTAGGTGATCCTGCTCTGGCAGGGGGGTTGGACTAGATGATCTTTTGAGGTCTCTTCCAACTCCTGAGATTCTGTGATTCTGTGATTCAGTATTTCTGCTGAACATACAATGATATTTTGAATACTTGTGAGGCAATGTGCCCTTGGAATAAGGAAAAGTCATGAAAGAGAGCTTTGTTGCTATTTTTGAGTTTCTTGTTGTTTAATGAGTTATTAACATTTTTGTTCTAATATTGTCCCCAGTTGGTCAAATCGTAATGATTTGACTTCTGTATTTATAGGAAAGAAAGTGGTATTAAGTAATAATATCACAGTATGATGTTTTCTGTTGATAAGTCACTAAGATTCAAGGTTAACTTGCACTTTTTCAGAGTTTACTGCTATGATTTTGATCAAATATATACAGATATTAAGTTTAGATCTAGATCTTAACATATTCCTAAGTCTTTTGGAATTTTTTTCTATGTCTTTTTTACTGCTAATGAGAAATATATTTCATATCTGAATGAAAATATTAGAAATCCCGTATTGGTTTTCAAATCATGGGGATATAACTTATGATCATTAACAGAATCTTGCACAATACATCAAAGATGACAGATTCAGTATTAGATACTCAAGCTTTTGACAAATATGGTTTGATAAATTGCTGATCAAATTACAACAGCAGCAAGTGAAATCAGCATAATGCAAGCATTCATTCTGCCAGGTTTAGACTGGCAAATCAGCCTTTGTACTAATGCAAAAGCTCTCTAAGCAGTTCTATCTACTGAATTTTAAAAGGTGCTTTTCCAAGTGATGAGATTTATAATTTAGATAATATATTATATAACATTAATAAGAAGTAGCAGAGACTGCTCTACTTACCACATTCCCTCACTTATTTTTAGTTAAAAACTTTGTTACAAAGTTTAACTCTCAATAAATTAAAATGCAAATACAAGTTAATTATGCCAATTCTACATCCCCTTTTCAAAAGTTTATTTTGAAAGTGGATTGAGAAGTGTACAGTTTTTTTCAGTATTCAAATTCCTTTGATAATCTACTGAAGGATTGCTGACCTTTCTGAACAACCAATGTCTATGCTGATTTCACAACTTCAAAAGGAATAAATAGTATGAGAATAAACTCCTACACAGTTTATCTGTGGTCTAAGATTTGAATAAACTATTCAACTCATTCCCATTAGAACATATTTTCCACTTATAATTGTCTCCTAGGATTTGGGGTATCAATTCCTATTGAATTTCTTTCTAGCTCTGTCAACATGAAGCATGATATGTTTCAAAATTTTTTAACCCAAACATTAAATATATTTACTTGGTTTCTTCAAAGTTCTAAGAATAAGCAAAAAACCTCAGGTCTGTGAATCTCTCTGCATGGAATTCTCTTCAGCTTCAACTGATGTTCTATCTGTGAGCAGTCTCCTGATTTTCTCTCCCAAATTAAATTGGATTCAGACTCATTTCAGTCTCCTAAAATCCCAAAACATAAACTATAATTGTCAAGAGTAGCTGTTGTGGGGAGAAGCCTCATGGCATAAAACAGCTTCAAAAGTCTGATTCTCAGAGGTCAAGCGCTCTGCACTTAGCAAAAAAAAAAAAACCTTTCAGAGATATCCTGGATTAGATGACTGAACGTTTAAATTACTTTAATACATGGTTGTCATGTTTAAAATGAAGAGGACAAATCTTCCAAGTTCATCATCCTATTGACAGACAAGAATGAAGCAAAGGATCCAATGAACATCATCCTGATGCATGAGCCACAGTGTGGCTTGAATCATTGAAGCTAACTGGGATAATGGTCCCAAACCACAATTTGAACTGCAATTCAACTAAAAAAAATCTACAAAGAATAAGCAAACCAAAAACCCCAAAGTCATTTGAGCTTTTCTTGTACTTAAAATAACCAACTAAGATGTGAATACACCTGCTAAATTGTCTCAAAATGGTTTTGCAGTTTTTTCCCCCATGATGCTTACCTGCAGATGGAGGTGGCTTGTCCTTATAAAGCACTGTGTTGGTTTAAAGAAAACTTTAATGACACATCAAACTGGGATCATGACCATATTCAAACTCTATACATGGAACACAACAAGGTTTGTTGGTATGTTCCATATTTTATTAGACTAATAAAAAGGGGAAAATCAAACTGTTGGACACATATCTTGACTATTTTTTCAAACTGTACTGATTGGTCTAGTAGAAAACATTCTATCTATCTATGTAAGTTTATCATGCTTAGGTTCTAAGATCATCATGGCCACAACCACACTGTTACTCATAGCTGAGAAAGATACAGGGAAATGAACTGTATTGACTTATAGTTTGGTTTTTGCCATCTCATCTCTTTCCATATTAAATAAAGAAAACCAGCATTAGCACTGGAAAACAAAACTCATTTAACATCCTGTTTTGCATGTGAAAATTTTTGCTACACTTCTAAAATAATGTATTGCTCATATCTAGCAAAGCAATAAACTTCACACTGGAAAAGCTGGTGAAATATATTACAAAGGTTCCAGTTTCTACTTTCCTCGGTTGGCCTGAATATATTACCATCACTGGAAACCCTGCTAGAGACAGAACTCCTGAAGCTGAGATGTTCTTATAAAGAAAGCCTAACATACATGGAGTTAAACTAACGCTCTCCTGAAATGGTACTGAAAGCAGTTACTAAATGGTGTGGAACTTGATTTCTTCTGGATTACATATGTTACTAGAATGTGTTTAAAGTTATATTATTTGCACTTTTCTTTTGAAAATTGGTTGTTCACTGTAGTGTAGCCAGACATGCGTATGCATATGTCCTTGTTCCACATGCTTGTACACCTGCCTCTATTATTTTCATTCAGTCTGAGCAAATGCAGGTACTCATAGGGAATATAAGAACACAATTCAAGTCTTACCAGGATTTCTTTTAAGCATATGTTCTGCTTCTACAGCTGTTATCTGTGAGACTGTGGTGAACACATGGGCACAATGTACAGAGGCCCGTTCCATACAGTACCGATGGTAAATCTGTCTTTCTCCTGCTTCCTTGTCAATGTCAAACTGTTAAATAACAAAACAAACAAAAAAGACACCAGTGTGATATGCTTATCAGACTTATTACCACAAAGATGATCTCTCTTGTTAAGCTTGATTTCCCCAAAGAATAAAAATAATGTGATTATGCTGTTGGTTTGTATTTGGTTTTTTAACCATTTTATCAACTTCAGAGGCTTTGAAGTAGCAAGAGAAGTCTCAGTTCTTGCATGCTCATGAAAAAATGGCAGCTCTGCAATCGAGGTAGACCTAGATTAATGATCCCATGATTAATGATCCTCCTTATGAGGAGAGGCTGAGGGAGCTGGGTCTCTTTAGTTTGCAGAAGAGGAGACTGAGGGGAGACCTCATTCATGTTTATAAATATTTAAAGGGTGAGTGTCACGAGGATGGAGCCAGGCTCTTCTCAGTGACAAACAATGATAGGACAAGGGGTAATGGGCACAAGCTGGAACACAGGAAGTTCCACTTAAATTTGAGAAGAAACTTCTTCTCAGTGAGGGTGACAGAGCACTGGAACAGGCTGCCCAGAGAGGTTGTGGAGTCTCCTTCTCTGCAGACATTCAAAACCCGCCTGGACGCCTTCCTGTGCAACCTCATCTAGGTGTTCCTGCTCCGGCAGGGGGATTGGAGTAGATGATCTTTTGAGGTCCCTTCCAATCCCTAACGTTCTGTGATTCTATGATTCTGTGATTCTGTGAAAGGTAAGAATCTGTGCTACTTGGCTTGCTGGCTGGCAATAGGTCATGCTGCCTCTTGCCTGTGCTTGTTGGAAAATGGAAGAGCAGGGAAGTTGCTGGTGAATAAAAGGTATAGGGGAGAGAGAAGAAAAGAAATAGAGATGAAGAGAGAACCTGGGGACTGGGTAAAATGGTGGAAATTATGGATAGGCCAGAGAGAAACAGAGTTGTGGTGGAGAGGCAGGATGTAAGAACTCATAAATCCTGGAGGAACAAAGAAAATACGAGATATTTTCTGATAGTCAGAAATATTCTTCCTCCAACTCCACCCCTATTATTTGCTGCTCCTTTTACTTCATTTTGAATTCCATTGATTTCTAGAGGCAGATATAAGTTAAACCGCTAGGTAAGATCATCACAAATAACAAAGTATTTCTAAATTATCTTGAAACCTGGCTGCTATCCCTTTTTAAATCAATCTTACATTATCCTGGTGGGAAGAAAATGTACAATGCCTGTTGAGCCCATGCTTAAAAGTTTGAATGTTCACTAATGATATCCACGGCAAAATCACAACAATGTAGTATAAAAGAAAATAATGCTAATGGGGTGTCAATGATTACAATTAAATTACAATCCTCTTAGTCTTGTATGATGTTTCACTTTGAGGAACAGAAGTGTTGACCTCCCAGAGTCAACAGCATGGGCACCAAATAGACTGCGTGAGTTACGCAGAGAGTGACAATGTCAATAAGCTTTGTCATTATCACTGCCTAATTCTAGGTGCACAGGCTGATTTTGATTGCACTTGACTCTGTAACTTCATTGACCATAATAGATTTAACCATTATTATAGTCTGGACAGACAGCACTTTCTATAGTTAGGATTATCTGACCTTTGCCGTGGCTAGTTGCTTTTAGTGCTTAAGAACTTAGCCAGATGTAAAGCTATGTAAAGACCATGACTTTTCATACTGAGTACATGCTTAAGGTTGGTATAGAACATATTTTAAGAAATTTCAGCAAATATGAACCATTTCAGGGAACAAGATTTTTTTATTTTTACCTGGGTATATAGAAGTAGATATAGATATATAAGAACTGTTTTGTTAAGAAACTTAACTGCTTTTATCTACTGAGCACTTAACTTTTCAGTGGTACTACACTGCTGGTGGGAAAGTGGCTTCTACTATATTAGTTGAAAATGCCACCTTAATGTGAGCAAAAAAAGGAATCTTGAAAAAAAATTCAGTTTAAAAGTTCTAGAGAAACTAAATATTTTCTTTTGATATTGATGATCCTGTGTGTCAAGAGTTACTAAGCTTGTTAAAGAGATTTTTAGAAAAGCTAGGAAATATGTTTTACCACATAATATGATACTCATTAAGATACAATTTTTCAGTTGTATCATCATATATCATATTTTCTGCATTCCCCATGAGAATTTTGGTGCATGAAATACAACCATGTCACAAAAGATCTTTTCTCTAATACATAGATATCATTTGTCACAAAAGTTGAATGGTGGAAAAAGCACAGGGCAGAAGAAGAGAGAAATAAAGGTGAATAAATTTGACTCCTGAGAGTGCCACAGATCTCTAGCATGATGTTTTGCTTAACCTAAACCAAATCTTTCACATGCAGTTCTTACCTGTGTGTTCCTCCTCTTCTGAGAGACTATCTTGATATATTTGAGTCTAATCTGTTGAAGTGTTGAGCATTCACATTCCATCTGAAATCCACCAGACCTACACTCTGAAGTTATAAAGTACTTGATACTGCAAACTCCAATAAAGGTTCCGTTTATATGGGTGTAGTAAACTAATTAATTAATGTTTCTGAAGCATTCAGATAACACTGATTAATGCTGCAAAACAGCTTTTTAGAAAATCACAAATATGTTCTTCAGATCAGAAATCTTAATTACACATAATAAATAAGGTAGGAAATTGCATATTGAACAAAAAACAAAACCAAAAATCATTATGATTGTTCAACTATTCTGTGTACCAAATATGCAAAATGGGACAGTTCTTTAGCATGCTGGGCAAACACACAAATGGGACAGGGTACCACTGCACAGTCAAAATCATGCACGTTTTTTCAAATACTCTTTACTTTGTATCAAAGATATTTTTCAAATTGCTAGCAAACAAATAGCTGGCCAAACTTTAAAAGGTTTTTGTTCTCTTTCCTTTTCTCAACAAGAATAGATTCTTTACAAAATTTAATTAAAAACTATATTTGGGACATGTTCACTAGCTGTAGATAAACACTCCCGTCAGCACTACTAGGAAAAAGGTTCATAAAAGGATTGTTCAAAGCACTATAGCTTATTTCTAACTAGCTTTTATTTCTTTGATTGCATGAAAGCATTTAACACATTTAACACATATACATATTGATGTTTATTTCTTCATCGTTATTCACTTTTTTATCTTCTGGAAATGGGAAAGATTTTATTTTGCACATGCTCGCATGACTTTCTGCACAATTTTTCAAAGGTACGCATTTTCATGTCTATTAGCAAGTATAAACTGAGGACACAGAGTTCTCACATTTCATTTACTCTCACTGTCCAGCAGCCTCCTACATGCATCAATTGGTAAAGCGTGAACCTTTGACCTCACTTATAGTGTGAAGTAAGAAACCTCATTGCGTACCTCCAAGCAGGCAAGATGAGTGACTTCAGAAAATAAGCCTTAGTCAAGTTGAAGGGTAGGCTAAATGGATCTTAATTGATGAGACAGTGCAGGAGATAAATTTAGTCTACACAGTACTGTACAAAGACAGCTGAGCTTGCTTTGACAGTATTAGCTCCAGAATTAGAGACAATATGGGATATGGTGCTGTATTGAGCCAATATGCCAAAACGAAGCAGAACACCAGTGCAGCTGGTTTGCTTTTCATCCCCAAACCAACGTTCTCACTCAGCAATCAGCTCTGCTGTCTGATCACTTGTCCACCCCTAGCTCAGGCACCTGTGAACTATGTTCCATAGTGTTGATGTTCAGCAAAGACAAACCAAAATACCTGCGAAGTGTGTCATGCACACTTTTGCCTGTTTGCTGTTATCAGCAAATGGGAACACTAGCAAAGCCACAAACAAAAGCTGCATCAAAGGAAAAGCAGATCAGAGTAACTGTTTATGGAATCCTTTAGGTTGGAAAAGACCGTTTATTCTCTCAGTGACTTTCAAAGACTAAGGACTTCAACACCTTGTAAATATGTCACTACTCCCAGTAAGGATCTCCTCCTACTCTGACCGTTAGAAACCAAGCAGATTATTACGATTTACATGATGGCAAGGATTAGAGGGGAAAATGCCTCTCTTAGAAGGCCATTCTAACTGCAAAGCGAAACAGGAAGATATTCCACCGGCCTAATGCTTTAGAGTAAAATTGAGGAAAACTGGAGCAATTCGGAGGAAAATTTTAGCTCATTTCTGTCCTGTCTATGGATCTACGTGATGAGCATAACATTTCATTCATGTCTTAAAATTTAGCATATTAGGGGGCACAGTAGGTAATCACGGAACCTCCCAGCACGACATTCAGGTTGAGACAGCTAAGATGATCTTCAAATGCAAAAAGAAGAGAATATCAAGCATTTATGAGGTACTGGCATTATGTTTCTCTTGAAAACAGTGAACAGCAACAGGAGTAACAAATCCAAATCAGACATTCCTACTTTCATATTATAAAGACAAATTGCAAGGATTTACAAAAGCACAAGAAGAATGATTTGATAGTGAAAAAAGAGTCAAGGCTATACTAGCTATGTAAAAACTTTTCTGAAAGACAAATTATATATTTTCACAAACTGCATATAGTCTTGAAATACTGATACTAGATTATGCTTTCATAAAGCACAAAAAAAAGGTATTCTGAAAGACAATGGAAATTAAACCAAGACAAATTCAAACTGGAATGAAAATACATAGTTTTGATAATGAATAACTTTGTGTCACCTTCGTATAAATAATATAGATTCCCCTTACCACTTGAACCTTACCTCAAAGATGAATAAAGCTTTAGTAAGTAGTTTGTATCTCAAATTTAAGGTATAGGCTGAGGATTTTAGGTGAGAATTAAATAATCTGTTACAGTCTTTCTTTAAAATCAGTGGCACACTCAAGTTCACAAGGTGATTCTGCAGTGGAATCAGGAACAGTCAGAGGTAGGACTGAAATTCAAATTCCTTATCTACCAGAAGGCAGAATGGAAAGACCTTTGCTTGTAGCATAATCTCACTGGCTACTATTGTCTGAATTATGGAAGAGCTACTCTTTTTAAAATTCAGTTTATGTCAAATTTAACTCCCATT